GGGCCCGTCGGGCGTCCAGCGTGATAATGGATAGGTCCTGGAAGAGGGAGATCTCGGCGTCCATGTAGGTGACATGTGGCCGTGCCCTGGCGGATCTCATAAGGGCCTCCTTCAGTTGGAATGACACCAGGGAGCAGACGATGTCTCTGGGTTGACCGTCTCTCCTGGGGGCCCTCAGGGCTCGATGTGCCCTTTCTATGCCGAATTCTTGTGGGGCCAGGTCCCCCAGGAGGTGCGTAAATAGGCCCGTGAGGATCTCCTGCAGGTTTTCCCCCTCCGCCTCTGGCAGGCCCCGGATTCTGATGTTGTTCCGGCGGCCTCTATTGTCCAGCTCCTCAATTTGCCGGCGTAGGTCAAGGAGAATGTTGCCCTGCCTCGTGGTGGCCAGGTCCGCGGCCTGCTGATGCTGTGCAGCCTGCAATTGCGTTTCTTCCAGGGTATCCACCCTCTGTTCCAATGCGGCGAGGTCGTTGCGGACTGCTGCCACTTCTTCCCTTATGATTGAGCGCAGCTCAGCCACCATTTCAGTTTTGTCTCTGCGAGTCAGCATGCTTGCGGAGATCGCAGCCAGATCGACCGATATCTGTGATAGGGTGCCTACTGCGGGCGAGTCCTGTGCCGATCCCATCACACTCGAGCCTGGGGAGGAGGGAGTCTGCATGCTCGGTCCCCGGAGCCCCGGAGGTCGGGCGGCACTGACAGGAATTCGTCCATCGGGCCCGGCGTCTGCCGCGCCAGGGTCGCTCCGGGTGGTCGCTTGTTTTTCCCCCTTTGTGCAGTTTTGTTGAAAAATATGGCTTGTGTATTTGGACTTAGCAGGTTGGGGCCTAGGAGCTCGAGTTAGGTGCGTCTTACTCCATTGGTAGTCAGGCCACGCCCCCTTGTATATACATTTATTATGTCCGTTAAAATTACAAATAAAAGGAACTTCATTTGTATCAGTTCGTGTTTTCTTTGGTTTGTATTGGATAAGTTGGTTTCTTTTTAATATTCCTACCTCTTCTAAATCTTGATTTAAAGATGCTTCGTTATATCCCTTTTCCATGAACTGCTGTTTAATGTAATTGGCCTGTTCTAAGTAGTCTCTATCTAGTTTGCAGTTACGACGGATCCTTAAAAATTTACTCTTAGGAGCGTTATGGAGCCAGGGTTTATGGTGGCAGCTGCTGATGTCGATGTAACTATTGGCGTCCACTGGTTTAAAATGATTCTTAGTAACTATCGTAGCATCCTGAATCCTAATATCGAGATCTAAAAAATTAATATTGGATTCGCTATAGGTGCTGGTTAAATTAATTCCATAATCATTGGTGTTGAGGTATACAATGAATTCTTTTAGAGCCTCTGTGGTACCAGTCCATATAAAAAAAATGGCGTCTATAAAATGGCAGTAGGACACCAAACTCGCCCCCCATGGATGTCCTTGGAGTACAAATGCCTCTTCCCAAAAAGCCATGAAGAGATTGGCATAGCTCGGGGCGAATTTGGTGCCCATTGCCGTCCCACAGATTTGTAGGCAAAAAGTGTTTTCAAACCAAAAGTAGTTATGGGTTAAAATTAATAAAATTCCTTCTAAAATATACTGGATTTGCTCTTCTTTAAAATCGGATTTTTCTAAAAAGTGTTTCACTGCTGCTATTCCTTTATCATAATACTGTATAGTGCGGTTACGTCACATGTTACTAATACATTTCCTTCTGTCCATTTTGTTTTTTCTAAAATTTGTAAAACATGAATCGTATCTTTAAGGTATGTAGGATTTTTTATGACAATTGGCTGAAACACAGGCAGGAAGTCACACCAACAGGCAAACAGTCACACCAACAGACAAAAAGTCACACGCGGGGCATGCAGTCACAGTCACACACACACACAGACTTACCTCTTTCCAGAATGGCTGGAAGGGAGAGTGGATGCAGTTGGTTGTTGGGGAAGCAGGGACTCCTTCCTTCTTCCCTCTTCCTGTGCAGCAGTTACTAGGGACTTCGGGTAGGTATTAGCCCCGCCTCTGCCTCGCAATAAGCTCCACCCCCACTGCTCAGTAAGCCCCGCCCCCGCTGCCTTGATTTTTTTTTTATAGACCCAGGTGGAGAATAATTAATCCTCCACCCGGGTACCTGTTTTAGTAAGTGTGCTCCTTACTCTATTCACACTGTTATGTATTTTGGGTTCTTTAGGGGATAGAGCCTTATGTGGGTGAGCACCCAGTATTTATTATATTAGCCTTTTCCTGGGGCTATTTTGTTGTTTAGTCGAGAGTGCCCGCCTTGTTTCATTTGCATTAGTTCCCCTGCCCTCCTGTCACCCGGCCATGTGTGAGCTGTGTCGGCCACATGGCGCCCCCTGGTCCATGGCGCCCTGTGCGGCAGCACAGCTCACACACCCCTAAGGCCGGCCCTGGAAGGACCAGCTTATTTCAGGTAGATTAGCTCAGTGTGTAGGATGTCATGAGATTCTGCAGTTGTTAACTTGATTTTCTCTCTTTATTCCAAGCTGAGACACATTTTAAATTTGGTGAGATATCACTAGTCAGTAAAATTACCATCTAATATAGAAAAGAGTTGTAAGTAGCAATTATCATTTCCTGTTATACTCTATGGGAGTCTTTAAAAGTCTTGTCATCTCAGAATTATGAGTCACTAATAGTAGAATGTTGTACTTTGGAAACTGCTGCTGCACGCTAATGTTAGTGGCAGCCATTTTAGTGATGAGTGGCTTTTGACTTAAACATATCAACAACATTGGAAACAAGCCGAAATGCAACATATTTCAATAACATTGTAATATTCAGTCAAACCCCACACCCCCCACATAAAATAGAAAACGCTTTAAGTGTTGTACATACAAGTGAGAGATATCTCTTTAGTGCTTTTATTCTTTAAAGGGACACTATAGGCACCAACACCACTTCAGCTCATTGAAGTGGTCAGAGTGCAGTGCTCCTGTCAGTTTAACCTTGCAATTGTAATGATTAAGTTTTTGATAAACTGCAATAATTACATTGCCAGGCTAACTCCACCTCTAGTGACTGTCTACCAGACACAATAGAGATATAATACGCAGGGCACAATACAAAGATTCCTATGCAATACACAGAGCTGGGTAGATTACAGAGATATCCATACAACAGGTAGAGTAAAATACAGAGGAATAACACACAGAGCTGGGCTCAATAAGCAGATATCCATTGAAAGGGGCGGAGCAGAGTTTAGTGGGTGGCTCTAATAAAGTGGGAAGAGATAGGACAGCTGGGGAACAGGCGCATAGCTGAGGAACATTATCATTTGGTAGCGAGGGGAGAGAAAAGGAAAGGATTAGCTAGTCCTGACTTTGTGCAGATTTGCTTGTTTGAGTGAAGATGTTGGGAGCATCAACTCAGGAGTAGCTTTACTGGAGTAAGCTAAACCTTCTAACAGCTGAGGGAACAGCCCCTCTAGTACGAGTGGGGATGAGAATGTAAGAAAGGCCAGACAGTTTGTGTTGGTAGAGGACTCTATTATTAAAGGACCACTATAGTGCCAGGAAAACATACTCGTTTTCCTGGCACTATAGTGCCCTGAGGGTGCCCCCACCCTCAGGGTCCCCCTCCCCCCGGGCTGGATGGAGAGGAAGGGGTTAAACTTACCTCTTTCTCCAGCTCTCCTCCTCCTCTCCTCCCTCTTCTCCTCCTCTTTGGCTGAATACGCATGCGAGGCAGGTGCCGCACGCGAATTCAGCCAGTCCATATTAAAGCATTCACAATGCTTTCCTATGGACGCTGGTGTCTTCTCACAGTGAGAAACGCGGAAGCCCTCTAGCGGCTGTCAATGAGACAACCACCAGAAGCTGGATTAACCCTAACATATACATTCTCTGAAACTGCTATGTTTATAGAAAAAAGTAGATAGGGTAATCTGCCACTCTGATCATCTCAACCGAGTGCACGGGTCTCGTATGTTGCTGACAGAGTGGATGGGTTATTGGGAGGAGCAGGGTATGATCCCATTGTCATAGTACATATTAATACCAATGATAAAGTCAGAAAAAATGAAAAGTCCTAAAGAATAAGGAAGTAAACTGAATAAAAGGACCTCCAAGGTAGTATTTTCAGAAATATTACCTGTGCCGCGAGCTACAGTAGAAAGGCAGTCAGAGATTAAGAAGGTTAATGCATGGCTAAACTCATGGTGTTGGAAGGAGAGTTTTGGCTTTTTAGAGCACTGGGTCGATTTTGCGCTTCGGTAAAATCTTTATAGCCGTGATGGATTGTACCTAAACAGAAGAGGGTCTGCTGTGCTAGGGGACAGGATAGCTAGAAGGATGGAGGAAATTTTAAATTAGTGGTGGTGGAAGGGAGTATACAGAAATCATCACAATTGAGATAGGATAGAAAGGAGATGGGCTTTAGCTCAGAACCATGGGGATGGAGATGGGAGTGGGGCAAGATCAGAACAAAGGAGGTATGTAATAATAATAAAAATTCACATAAAGTAAAATGACTTTTGGGGGAACTAGAAGCAAGAGCAATCACTAAGCAATTTGACATAATAGGCATAACAGAAACATGGTGGGATGAGAAACATGACTGGGCAGCTAACCTAAATGGATACACATTTTTAGCAAGGATAGAAAAAAAAACAGGAAAGGTGGTTGGGTATCTTTGTACGTCAACCACGAGTTAAAACCAAATCTTAAGCAAGTGGAATGTGACAAGGAAAATGTGAAAACTTTATGGGTAGATATCTGCATGGGGCAAAAGAAGGGAAATCTATTATTGGTTGGGATATGTTAAAAACTACAGCTGTTAGAGCAAATTGGGAAAGTTGCACATCTGGGTAACATGTTAATTATTGGACATTTTAATTACCCAGACATAAATTGGGCTAGAGGGACTAGTAGTTAAGCAAGGGGAATCAGGTTTTAAATGTGTTAAATTACCCCTCCATGTCACAACTGGTACAAGCACATAGGCGTGCGCAGCCTATTGCATTAGGGTGTGCACCCTAAAGCACAAACACACGCCGCATGTGTGTGTGTGTATATATATATATATATATATATATATATACACACACATATATATACACATACACACACACACACACACACACACAATCACTGCTGTGTGTGCTGTTAGTGTGCTGTGTGAGGGTGCTGTGTGCTGTTAGTGTGATGTGTGTGTGAGGGTGCGGTTAGTGTGATGTGAGGGTGTGTGTGTGTGTGTGTGTTTATTACTGTGCTGTTTGTGTGTGAGGGTGTTTGTGTGTGTGTTTGTCCTGTGAGGGTGCTGTTTGTGTGAGTGTTGTGTATTTGTGAGGGTGCTGTTTGTGTGTGTGTGTGTGTGTGTGTGTTTGTGAGGGTGCTGTTTTTGTGTTTGCTGTGTGTGAGGGTGTTGTGTTTTTTTTAAAGGTGCTGTGTGTGTTTGTGAGGGTGCGGTTAGTGTACTGTGTGTGTGGGAGCTGTATGTGTGTAGGTGCTGTATGTTTGGAGGGATTGCGGAGGTGGGGGCAGATTAGTAAATCCTTGCTGCCATGTGCCATCCCTGGTGGTCCAGTGGAGAGTGAACTCTAGCCTGCGGGGCTAGAGTTGACTCTCGCAAGATCTGAGCGTTGACACAGCAATGCTCAGATATCGCGAGAGGAACCTGGCGGAGCTTCTGTCTAGAGCTCCCTGGGTCCTCTCCTGCCTCCCTCCATGCTGCTGTGGGCCGGTGAGGTAGATCTTTAGTCTCCCCGCTGGCCCATGGAGGCTTAGAGCAGAGATGGCACTCAGATAGCGCCGGCTCTGCGTGAGCCGACAGGGGAGATCGGGATTCCCACCCCCCCAAAAAAACAATATACATGTGTGCATAATATATATATATATATATATATCTGCGCATATGCGGCGTACACACACAGACACACACACACATACACACACACACACACTCACAGATTCAGACACACACACATACTCACAGACACACACACATACAAATTATTATATTTTAATAATACAATGTCCCCTCCCTACCTGGAGTGCTGGAGTGGACTTTACCCTGGGGTCCAGTGGGGCGGGCGCCTGTCTGCATCTCATCCGCGGCGAGGGAGCTGTCTGCTCTTTGCTCCCTCTCGCCGCGCGGGCTGTCTGCTGTAGCTGGGAGCCGGAATATGATGTCATATTCCGGCTCCCGGCATCAGCGCACGGCGAGAGGAAGCAGAGAGCAGACAGCTCCCTCGCCGCGGCTGAGATGCAGAGCGGGGGGTATCCATCACCTCTTGCCCCCCACCCATGACAGGGGCAAGAGGTGAGACAGGGGGCGCTGAGTGCCTGCAGGAACAGTGTTCCTGCTCAAAAAAAAAAGTGCAGGAACACTGTTCCTGCAGGACTCAAACCATAGGCGTGCCACAAGGATTAGGGTGTGCCCAGGCACACCCGGCACACCCCGTGCGCACGCCTATGTACAAGCACCAACTAGAAAGGATGCTAGTCTGTAACTAGTTATAACAAACACTGCTGATTTTTTTTTTACCAACATCCAAGTAGTGGAGCAATTGGAAAATAGTGATCACAATATGGTGTCTTTTAAAATAAACTCAAAAAGCAAATGCTATACTTAAACATATAATGTTAAAAATTTAAAATTTAGGATAAGGGCAGCTTTATTGACTGGCATAAACACTTTAGTGAAAAAAACACCAGGGATAAAATAAATTTTAATATATTTTAAACAAAGGAAAGGTATATTTCTTAGTATGTATCATTGGATATTAAATATAAAATAAACACAATTAAACCAATGTGGTTTAGTGAGACAGTAAGCCAAAAGATAAAAAATTAACAAAAGGGCATTTAAAGTGTTTAAATGGGACACATCACAAGCATCCTATATACCATATAAGGAAGCCAATAATGCATGAAAAAAAGACAATTAGAGTGTCTAAACTAGAAAATAAGAACGTCAAAACCAAAGAGAGCAAAACCAACCCCAAAATAATTTTAAGTACATAAATTCTGAAAAGAAAAATAAATTAAGCATAGCTACACTGAAAACAGAGATTGGTGTGTTAAATAATGAATACCAGAAAAAGGTATACATTTTAAATAACTATTTCCCCCCAGTGTATATTAAGGTAATGATTGCTGGAAAAAACCTGCAGAAAAATTGTGAGGTGCTGCAGCAACTAAATAAAGTTAATGTAAACAAAGCTCTGGGGACTGACGGTATTCACCCATTAGTTCTTAAAGAGCTGTAAATAAGTGAACCTCTATTTCTAATTTTTTAGGTTTCTTTTCTTTCAGGAATTTTACCAGAGGATTGGAGGCAAGCAGAAGTGGTTCAAATGTTCAAAAATGGTTTCAAATCTTTACCTGGAAATTATATACATGTGATCTTAAGTTCTGTGGCTGGGAAAGTATTTTAATTGTTATTAAGGGATAATATTTAGTAATTTTGTTATTAGCAATAATCAGCATTGTTTTTTGAAACATAGTTTATATCAAACTAACCTAATTGCATTCTACGAAGAAGTAAGTAGAATTATAGATTAAAGTGTTGCTGTGTATGTGATCTACTTGGATTTTGCCAAAGGTTTTGATAGGTTAGTGTTCAAACTAAAATAAATTGGTGTAGATGAAATGTCTTGTTCTTGGGTTGAACATTGGCTTAAAGGTAGAGTACAGAAAGCTGTCATTAATGGTAAACTTTAAAGATGGACAAAAGTAGTAAGTGGTGTCCTCAGTGTTCTGTTCTGGGACTGCATCTATACAAATGAAAAAGGCATTGAAAGTCATGTTTCAGTGTTTGCAGATGACACAAAACTCTGTAATATAATACAATGTGAGTAGGCTATTGCTTTGCTGCAGATGGGTTTAGATAGATTGGGCACTCAAATGGCAGATGAAATTTAAAGTAGAAAAATGCAAAGATATGCACTTCAGGTTAAAGAATGCTCAAGCAAATTTCACCCTAAATAATAGTGAATTATGGATAACAACTCACGAAAAGAATTTGGGAATTGTTATAGACAACAAAATATGCAATAATGTGCAATGTCAATTGGTAGTTGCTAAGGCCAGTAAGGTATTGTCATGTACAAACAGGGGCATTAATTTGCAGGATGAAAATCTAATTTTGCCTCTTTATCACCTTGAGTATGTTTTTTTGAGCACCTGTTCTAAAGAATGATATTATGGCACTAGAAAAATTGCAGAGACGGGCAACAAAATTAATAAAAGGAATGAGACATTTTAGTTATGAAGAAAGTTTAACAAATTTAAAAATCTTTACTTTGGAAAAATGGCGCCTCAGAGGGGCTATTATAGCATTATACAAATATATTCAGGGTCAATACAAACCATTGTTTTGAAATCTATTCAGAAACAAGACTATACATGGAACACAAGGTCACATATTTAGATTGGAAAAAAGGTGATTTAGTCAAAGGAAAGTGGTTTTACAGTAAGGACAATAAGGATGTGAAATTATCTGCTTGAAGAGGTGGTTTTATCAATGCAGATGTTTAAACAGCAATCAGATGAATACTTACACTACATAATATGGAGGGATATATAATGTTTAATTTATGGGGTAATAGCTTCTTGATTGCCATTCTGGGGTCAAGAACGTTTTTTTTTTTCCTATTTTGTTGCAAAATTAAAAGATCTTCAAGGTTTTTTGTCTTCTTTTGGATCAACAGCAAAAACAGATGTGAGAAAGGCTAAAATTAATGGATGCATTTCTCTTTTCAGCTATGCAACTATGTACTCATAGCTATTCCACACAAGCAGGATCACTGTGATGGATTACACATATCTGCAATACAGGGATACTCTCACAGTACATGTCTCTGTAAAATGATTTAGTTCTCGCTCTCTTTCTCTCCCACTTTCCCACTTTCTCTCTCTCTCTCTTTTTCTCAATCTTCATATCCCTTTTTTAGCTCTCCTGTACATGATCTCATATTCAGTAGTGCTCCAGCTATGATAACTATAGTATTTAATATTGCTGCTGTTATGAAACAGATCAGCTGCTCCATTAGTTCTCAGCAAACAGTGTACACAGGGTTAAATCATCAAGATACTGATAGACTCCAACAATTTTAGCTACTCCGAACTCACTATTAGCTCTCAGCACTGAGTGTACACAGGGTTCAATTAGAAGGATACTGATAGATTACTTATTACCTTTGCAGCTAGCAATATAACTGATTTGCAGAGGTAATATGGAGCCAAGACATAGCTGACATGGTTAACAGAATCAACAACCATTAAAGATTAAAACAGATTGAAATCAGATCAGCCATCAGAGTCAAATCCCCAGTTGTGCAGTTTGAAGCTTTACAACTTTTCCACAAGCCACAGAATGAGTGTCTCAGCTGTAGAGTGACTGAGCACTTTAAAGATGGTGGGTATGTACAGTAGGAATTATTAAAAATATTAGTGACAGTCAGCACAGTGCTCAATGGCAGAAATGTCCCTTTGTTACCCCTGGGCTTTACTTGCATTATATATATTTATTGTATATTTTAGTAAATACCCTTGCTTAATGAGTCCACAGGCAGTCATTAGGATTATTGGTGGAGAGAAAAAGATAATATCATACACCTACATTTGGCACGGGCCCGGAGCTGCTTTCTTTTTGTTAGTTCCAAGATTGTGTCTCTCTCCTGTGGCCACTGTAACCCCCACCCCCTGGAGATGTCAGCCAATGATGGCCCCTGAATAGAGAGTCTAAGAACATACCTCCACGGATGGGCAGCTGGTTCTACTGCCCCGAGGGCAACTCAATGGACATTCCTGAAATTCCTTCTTAAAGGACACTAGGCACGTGCAAAACTTACCAAATCAGGATAGATTTAAACCAGCCCCATTTTTGACATACCTAGATGCTCTCAAGTAAGCTTCTCCAAATAACTACCAATATGGGGGTAGGGCCCCTGCAGAACTGAAACCTGTTACATAGTTAAAGAAAAATAATCTTAGTGCAAATACATGTTTCCCATACAAAAACTGCTGGGGCTCTGCCCCAAGTGCCCATGTGGGTGAACCTACACTGCCATAAAATTTTGTTTATTTAAAAGGTGCACTAATACATCCACATGTGCTCAGTCATTTGAGAATTCTGTGATG